GTTAGTGTTGAGGATTCTTGACACGATTATTAAATAGGTTAGGTTTGGGTTTACCTATTTAGTATAATACCCTTACATTGATACAACACGAACACGAATTGCCACCCCTAATCATCATTATCATCCTTGCCTTAATGAGGTTGGTCACATGAATTCTCTCTCTCCAGTTTTTCTATTACATGTCAATTCACTTACTAATTACTGCTAATAAAATGAAGTTAACAAAGCCAAAACCTCATGTACGGCTAAGCCTTGCAGATAATTTCATTCTGAACCCATTGATAGTAAAGTCTGAGTTAGAAAGGTGAAAAGAGAATAAGAAAACGCCTGTTTATATCATTGGACTTTCTAGTTTAACTTTTTAATATCATTCTTAATAACATCATCCCATGTTATTTTTGGCCAGCCCCATCTCTTTTTTTTTCGATAAGTAAGAATTAAATAAAAAAGCGTTCAAAAGGGGAACGCGTCATTTATACAAAAGTGGAACCGGGGTCTAAGGCCCTAAAGAATCCAAAAAAATAATTAAATCATCGGAAGAGGAGCATATAACTGAAAAGAGAGCGAATAATATGAAGTTTCAGCGTTGCCGTGGAGGACTCGTTCCCTTCGAACATTATGCTATTCCTCTCCCCATCTCTTATCTTCTATTACAACTAATCTTCCTTATTTGATGAGCGTGTCACTAGAACTCCAATGTCTATGTTCAAACCATCTAAGTCTACTCACTTGAATTTTCTCACTAATGGGTGCTCCACATAATTTTTCTCTCACATTTTCATTAATGACCCTATCTCTTCTAGTCACTCCACCTATCTATTTTAACAATATTCTCATTTCCACTATATGAAGGCGTTTGTTTCTCTTTTAGGGCCAACAATCCATTCCAAACAACATAGTTGGTCTAATAACGGTCTTATAGAATTTTCCTTTTAGCCTATATGTAATGTTTTTATCACATAAAATCTCACAAACTTGCCTTCATTTTGTCCAACCCACTCTAATTCTACTAGTTACATCATTATCTATTTACTGGTAAGACTTCAATGCATTCCCTATTCGACAATTTCTTTACGCATAAACAAAGGATGAAACTACAAGGAACTCGCTCCTAATAGGGGATATGGCACAATAAAAAAAGTAGCACGTCCCAAGTTTATATATATCGTGCTACTATCTGTGATAGTTCAAGTTTGCGAATTTTCCACATTGGCTCTTCTCAAATTTCTACGTTTTCAAAGCCTACTTTAGCATAGACATACTTTTATGCATTATCCTGTCTTAAGATGGTATTAGACCCATAGTGGTAATGATGGAAAAACAAAAACCCTCTTCCCCTGCTTTATCCTTTTCTTCATCTCCTCCTTTAAACTATTCTTTTTCTTTATCAGATTTCTCAAAAAAAAAAATTTCATATCCCCCAAACTTTTTGAAATTTTTTATTACTATCCCCTAAATGTTAATTAATTTATAAATATCACCCCTAAAAATCATTAAAAATTTCAATTTACATATACACATATACAATATCTATAATATTAATTCAAGAGAGAAAAAAAATGGATAAAAATCACTAATGTTACATCATGTTTAATAAAAAAGATTCAAGCATTTTTGTACAATGATATCTACAAGAAAAATATCTAAAATTATATAACGATCTTTATTGACATCTTGTTTATTTTAAAATTATTTTGTTTAGTTAAAATTCATTATTTTTTTCTAATCTTTCATCTAAGTATATCTTTCCCAATGAAATCAAAGCACTCAAAAATTTTTCTTCCAAAAATTAGAATTTGAAAAACTGAAACAATTGATCAAAAAATTTTGATCATCTGACAATACTTATTTTTGTACATCTTCTCTTTTTAATTATATCTAGTCATTTTTTCTCTATATTTTCCTTTCTAATATCAATTTTTCGTCTTAATAATTTTTTAATTTTCTCAGGTCAGACCTACAAAGGAATCCCCGGTAGGTTTTGACGGTAAGAGAGTAGAACCTATCGGAGTTGTTGAGCTGCCCATATGCACTGCACAAGGTATATATACTATATGACTAGTATTTATAAAAAGGGCAAATTTCTCAAAACCCCCAAAACTATTAAAAAGTGATCATCAAACCCCAACCAGTTTTAAAAACCCCCAACAATATAACAACATTATCATTTTACCCAAACACTGTCAATGAACCGTTAAAGGTATGTGAAATGACTAAATTATCCTTATGATATTCCATTTTATTTAAAAAATCAAAAAATCATATTTTACAAATTACAATATTATCCTTTTGATTTAATCCAGCAGTGTAATTAACAATTATAATTAATAATTAATTAACAATTAATTACAATTCAACAGTATATACACACATATATCTATATATCTATATCTATATATATATATATATATATATATATACACACACACACACACACACACACACATATATATCTCTATATATATACACGGCGGCTGCGAATCAGGGTACCACCGGCGGTATCATATATATATCTCTATATATATACAAGGCGACTGCGAATCAGGGTACCACCGACGGTATCGATGGCTTGTGAGTTGTGGCGGTGGCCGAATCTCAATGACAAAATTGCAAACCCAAGATCAATGGGTCTATGAAAGGGAATCGGTGATATTCGGCGATGCACGATGTCGGTGAGCAATGGGATCAACACTCTTCGCCTTCTTCAGCCCCTTTTTGTTAGGAATTGGAATAGGGAAGAAGCATGAAAATCCGGCAGTGTCTCCGGCGGGTAACTGGGTTTTCTGGTCTTGGGTCTAAGAATGTGTTAAAATCCGGCGGTGTTTTTCGGTGAGGTGTAGACGATGGCGAGGGCTTGTAGGAGTAGCCGATTAGGGATTCAAGAACGGGAAAGAAAGGCCACTGGTTGGTGTAGTTGCCGTTCGATCTTGATACCTTTGATTAGTTGAGACTCAAATTCAGAAATCCCAGAAGAGCCACTCCATTGTGATCCTGATCCAATTTAACCCTCTAAGCAGATCCCATTTTCGGGTTTCGATTCCGTCACCAGAACACTCACATCCCCTCCAATTGCTCCAGAAGCCCAACTGCCCATCCCAGAAGGCACCAAAAACTCCCCATTTCTTTTACCACAATTCTGAGCTTCTCTATTCTCTTCTTCTTCGCCTCCATGCGTCTTAGCGACTGCAATTCCTTCCGTTTCTGACACTCCTCAGTCTCCATCTTTGTCCCCGCCGGAGGAAGCGAACACGTCGTCACCAGCGGCGCGTGTACCTCCACCGGCGCCGCAACCCATGCCGTGTAGTTATTCTCTGCCATCATGAACTCCGGTATGGACGACGAGCGAACTAGCTTCCTCTCTCTATTTGGGTCCACCCCAAATCGACCGTTCAACGAAAGCCCGAGACTCAGCTCCACATCTTCTTCCTCTACCTCCTGTAGAGAAACACAGTTCGTTTCCCTTTTTTCCTCAACCTCCGCCATTTATTACACAAATAAAGCTAGATTTGGTGAAATTTTGAAATACCCAGATGGGTGTTTTTGGTTAGGAAGTCAATTTCCAGCAGAATCCCTCGGGAAAATAAGAAGGAAAATCTAGTAGAGTTGGAGATTTTGAACGAACAACACAAAAAATCTTACGAGTTCCACACGTTGCATTGAGTTAAAACAAAATTTCAAATACCCAGATGGTTGATTTTTGTTAGGAAGTCAATTTCCAGAATAATTTCTCAGGAAAATCTAGTAAAGCTGCAGATTTTGAATGAAGAACACAAAAAACTTACGAGTTTCCCATGTTGCATTGAGTTGAAACAAAATTCAACAAAATCCCCATGAAGCTCAGAGGATGTAATTTCGGATTTTCCTACACTTTCTCGGGAAAAAAAATGGCCCGCGAAACAGAGAAAGGCATGATAGAGAAGAAGAAGAGAGAGACATTGGATGTGGTTTTGAGTTATTCAAGTTTCTTAAGAGTGGGAATCTGATCGCGGCTTGGATTGATTACAAGAATGATAAGAGGGCAATGGATGTGGTTTTGAGTTATTCAAGTTTCAAAATGAAAGCTCTGCAAATGTGTGCCGCATTCAAATTACAATCAAGAACAAAATTATTCATTGGGTTTCTGTAGTATTTTAATTATAAATTGCCAACCAAAATCAAGAACTTCACTTTAGAAGACTAATAGATCGTAAATGCTGTAATTTTTTAATTATAAATTGCCATCCAAAATCAAGAAAATGGGATGAACTAGGGTTTCCTTAAACTATTTCACGCATGGAGGAGAGAAGGGATGCTTGGGGGTATTTTTGGAATAACACATATAAATAAATATCACTTGTTTGACACATGTGACAGTAGGGGTATTTTCATTACAAAAGTTAATTTGGCAAAACAATTGTTAACCACGCGCTGGTTAATGACCCCAATTGATAGAGTTTGGGTAAAATGATAACATTGTTATATTGTTGGGAGTTTTTAAAACTAGTTGTGGTTTTATGATCACTTTTTAATAGTTTCGAGGGTTTTGAGAAATTGGCCTTATAAAAAATCACATTACAATTGACTAAAATTTCTGGCTCCTCCCATACTTCCCATTAAACTATGTTACTCCAACCATCCGTTGTGGAACTCGCAAGTTACAACCTAGGATCTCTTCTATAGGAGTTTGTTACAACAAGACACTTTTATTTGACAAAATCTGATATCCACGTTATTTGACAAAATATGATATACATGTTGACAGGTATCAACACACACAAAATCTTTTCAAGCCAAACAGAGGGTTTAGAAATCACTTGCATCAGCGATTAGATGAACGACATAGAGAGTTCTTTTTCTTGGTGATTACTTCATTTTAGATTTTTTTTTTTTTTTTTTTTTATTGTTATGCTAACCCAATCTCCTTCCACTTACAAATTGTTTCATAGTAAAAAAAACCATTAATTAATCATCTAATAAACCCATGTTTATACATAAACATACACAAATGAAGATATATATACCTGGATATTGATGGCTTTTTGGTTCGATTGCAGCTGGCTGACAGATCGGGCGAATTAGTAAAGTTAAAATGAATTGCACATGTATTTATAAGAACCCAAAGTCAAATTCCCAAAAATAACAAAAATATATATATATTAAAAGGAAAAAAAAAAAAGAAGAATATACAAGTATATATACTTAGATATATATATATAGTTACACAATACCTCTGGGGGCTTTCATCTTCTCCAAGTTCTTGTCACGAGCCATCCTAGACTTCTGACCGTTGCCCCCCTCCCATTTTATCTGATCAAATGATCTGAACAACCTCCTCACAAAACCCAATTTCGCTTTTGATATATGTACGTGGAGTTGAGAGTCACGGAGGATGTGACGAAAGAACACAGTAATTGCGGGAGATGGGATCCTATGCGGAAGTGATGTACCTCGTCGAAGTCAAGAACCAAATGTCCTTTTATGAAATGACATTATAATCCTATTTCATTTATGATCAAATTAGATACGGAGTACTTTGTCATTTCATTTACAAAAATAATAAAAATAAATTATATATGCAATATGTCAATAGAGGGGTTTTTATTAGTTAAGTACTATATATATATTTATATATTTATATATAGTCAAAAGTTCAAGTTTAGACAAAGACAAAACAGTGTTCATGTTGAAATCGAATGGAATTAGGGTACCGAAGAGAAAAAGAAAGAAAATAATAGGGATAATGTATCTTGTGTTATTTGTTTTTGTTTCGGCTCAGAAAAAGCTAGTACCTTCAAGGCGAGTAAAAGGGAATGTGGATATCCCAAGAAGTACTGTCGTCCCAAAGAGGAGCTCCAAAATAAAGAATGGTTGGAATCAACGATTGAGAGGAAACTTAGAATGACCACTTCCAGGGATTCTTTCTGTGTTGAAAAAAGGACTTAGGGAGAGTTTTACAGCTAAGGGAAAAGAAGGCGAAATTTAAATTGTTGGATTTTGAAATTGTTGGAAATCATATTTATAAGTTGACTGTAATGACCCTGTCATTTTCCTTCCTTTCCTTTTTCTCAGATTTTCACGAATATTTTCTTTCCGTTGATTTTTTCTTTTCTGAGTTCGATTTCTCGTCAGTTAGTGTCGTCTCGAGTGCTCTAAAATGATTTTCGAAACTCTTTTATTTGGATTGACAACTTCCTTTGAGGACCGCTTCATTTCCACATTTTCATTTTTTCGACACTATTCACTTTTCGTCCTTTTCCCTATTTTGTCTTTTTCCCGTTTGTTACTTTGTTGGCATAATCTCACTTTTTGTGTTCAGAGTTGGTTTTTGACTTCACGTATCTTCATTCTAAGTGGTTTCCATGAAATACGTATATTTATTTTTATAGAAAGGTACTCTGGTTACTCCGGGTGTCCATAAGGGCATGGATGAACAGTTCTTCAGAAACATTTCCTTTTCTTAGGGTATTTTTCGTAAATATCTTTTGAAGATATTTTATTTCAGGGGTTTTTAAGAAAATATTTTTGGAAGATATTTTCATTCTGGCCAGTTGTGCAGTTTTCACTTTTTGGAGGAGCCATTGTGTAATTAATGAAAGTTATATCTGAATGCCTTGTTTTGAGCCTAAATCTTTATACGAGATTCATTTTCACTTTTTGTTGAGTTGTGTACTCATAGAATTTCCTTCTGGTCATTTTTCTCCAGTTTCAGGGTTTCTGGCTCCGGTTGCCGTCGAACTTGTTTGGGGCATATCTTTCTGCTCGGGACTCAGTTTTTGACACCGTTTCTTCCGTTGTGCATATTTTCTCATTTCGGTTCTTTTTCATTCACGTAGTTTTGCCATTTGAGTGCGTCTGCTCAAATTTCACTTTTCCGGACCCGGCGGGGCCTGTTCGGGGCACTTTTTGAATTTTTCTATAAATAGGGAGTCTTAAAAAAAAAAAATCAAAATTTTCTATCTCTCTCCCCTCTCTTGGCCGGATTCCATGGCAGCCATGGGCTGCCACTTTCTCTCTCCTATTTTGAGCTTCTTCTCTTCAATGAAACGCCGTAGTGCCTTAGTGTTTTGTGTTCGTCTCGGTGAGACCTTCGATTCCACCGATTGTAATCTCGTTTTGGCCATTTTTTGAGTTCGGATTTGAAGTCAAGTTGTGATTTTGATGGGGCTTCTATGGGGTTCTTATTCATCATGTTGTCCCCGACGAAACCTCGAAGTATCGTCGATTTCGGAGCGGTTTCATTTTAGTGGCTTTTGAGATTTTCATTTCAAATTGAGGTAAGGGGTGTCTTAGGTTTATATTCATGTTGTATTGATGATTTAAAAGCTTATACTACTTGTATGCATGCTTTGGTTTAAGTTCTAGAATTTAATTTAATTAATTTCTATGGTTAAGATTTAATTCTCATGATGATATATAACTTAGAATTAAATTATGGCATGCTAGAAAATTAGGCTTTGGTATGTTTGTTAACATACATTAAATTGGGATTATTTAAATAAGAATTGCACTTTTTATTTAATAATTATCTTTGGTGAAAGTTTTATTTTCATAGACGTACCTTGCATGAAATTAACTTATGATATGCTTTTAAATTAAGTCTTGGCATGTTCTTTAACATACTTTAATTTGAGAGCGTTTGGATGAGTATGAAAATCTGGAGATTTAATTAAAATGATTAATTAAAATCTATTTAATGGTTTCATTGGCTTAATTAAGTTTTTGACTTAATATTTGTGATAACTATGACTTGTATACTAGCATATATTAATTTGAGACCATTTGATGTTGTTTTAGAATTTAGGGATTTGATTATCATAATTTAATTAAATTCCATTTTATTATTCCAATGGCCTAATTAAGTTTTCGATTTGGTATATGTAATGACCATGCTATATTGTTTAACATGTATTAATTATGGATCATTTGATTGAGATTTGAAACATGGGGAAATTAATTAGTTTATTTGATTGATTTCCGTTTTCATCGCATTACTGATTAAATCATGTGTTTGACATTGGTAGCATGTTTGAAACATGATTTTAGACTTGTAATGGATGCATGAGTTTATGTTTTCAATGTTGAAATATATTGTTATAACGTGTAATGAATCGCACACTGAAGATTCGACATATGGTATTATTATAGCGTGTAACGAATCGCACTCTGAAGATTCGACATTGTCATCCTATAGTAGTTGTGGATTTAGAGCATGTATTATGTGGTTTCAACCAACTTGTGCATGGAATGTAGTTTTGTGCTTTATATATATTTCGTATATAAGTTGTTAACTTATTTATTTTGGAGTCACTTGGGACATTGTTAAGAATTGGTGGCTAGAGTTTGGCTCTTGTACGGGGAGAAAAGTCCTCTAAGTCAATTATACGCGCGTTGGGTAGGCTGCCCAGGGGTCAGTAGCCCAAAAGTAGCCCTGTGTCGGTCTGATCTGATTGATGTCCAAGTATATCCGCCTTTGTTGATTTCGCATTCAATTCCAAGATGACAACCAATGTTTAATTGTGACTTGTAGTATTGGTTGTTGGCAATTTAATATTGTTAAGTACATTCAGGCATTATGATTTCTAATGAATCATTGCAGGTTTCGATGTCGTTAAGTGCATTCAGGCATTATGATTTCTAATGAATCATTGCAGGTTTCGATGTCGTTAAGTACATTCAGGCATTATTATTTCTAATGAATCATTGCAGGTTTCGATGTCGTTAAATACATTCAGGCATTATGATTTTAAAGGATCATTGTAAATTTTGATGTTGTTAAGTACATCTATGCTATACTGTTCAAATGCAACTTAGGAATGATCCTATAGATTCGTTTAGAATATAGACGTTAGGTGGCATATCCAACTTTAGTTGTTTCGCATTATAGATTTTAAGTTTATGACCTTGAGAATCTATATCTTGTTACCTTGTATAGCATGAACTTATGTTGTCAAGAATTGCATGAATGGTGTGATTTATGTTAGAAATGTTCTAAGGTAGCTTAGGATGTTCCCTAAGTCTCACATTTGACATAGACGCTAGGTGGAATGAACCACAATGATTAAATTATTTAAACTTGTAAAACATTAGGTCTATGCATACTCATCTCCTACGAGTAGCTTTATATTACTCACCTCAAAGTTACCGAGGATATTATTTCAGGTACAGGAATCAAGGTTGAGATTCTCATTATGCTTGGGCAATTAGTAGACTTGAAGATTCCATTTTTGTGAAGGTTGGCTCGAAATGTCATTTGTAGTCTTATTTGTCAAAATGTGTAAATTTGATCCTAAACACGTAGTGTGTACATGAGTACACTATTTACAATGTATTGATATGTATGACATGAGGCCAAAGGCCACAAACTTTATAGTTCAAGTGTATGTATTTAAATTTCAAGTTTTGCTTTTGAAATGTAATTTTTCTAACTTGGAGGATTGACATGTCAAATGTTGTAAATGAATTGTAATACACTTGCGTGTATGTTCATACCATCACACAATAGCATATAATTTAAATTGATCATACTATGGGGGATTCAAATGAGACTTAAAGTCTCTTTTCAGTTTTAGTGCATGGCAGGTTCATTCTTCACATTTTTGACCTGTTTCGGTCGACCGGTGGCTTGTTTCGGTCGATCGGAACATATTTTAAATTGCAATTGAATAGTAAAGTCCAATTCCAGTAGCCATTTTCCATTCTGAACCATAAACCGGTCGACCGATTTGTCATTTCGGTCGATCGAAATAAAGGCTTATTCCCTTCTTTTCTCTGCTCACTTCGATCGACCGAAATGATGCTGCCTTGTCGGTTTTTGCTTGGTCGATTGTCTCGGCTGGTTAACCTTATTTGTTTATTCCCACATATTTTGTTGATCTTGTTTAAGCCATTGGATGGCATACGTTGTCTAGTTTGAACTAGATTTTGTTCCTTTGGTTGTCATTGGTGCAATAGGGTACCATTTGACCTTTTCATTTTAGCTTTTGCTTTCGGTTATTTCTTTGAGTCTCGTGACTTCATGGAAGATCGCATTGATCTCTTGGGGATGATTTATATCTCTATAGACTTTGGTTTTATCTTTCACTTCCGCATTTTAGATCCGTTATCAAGTTAACTTTCGGTTCATCACTGACGCACCGGATTGAAAAACTTAGGCCGTCACATTGACTCAATGATTGTGGCAAATTTATTGGGTCTTCGTTATAGGATATTATTTAGGCTTGTGTCTAGGGATTTGATTTTTATTCTCTTTCCATATTTGTATTTTTCCTCTTGTATATAATGATAGTCAGGCTCTCAAATTGAGCACGCCAATTTTACCAAATTATTTTTTGGTATCAAAGCCTCAAACCTACGCCTACCCTCTTTCTCTCTTTCACCGCCTCTTTTCATCTCTCTCTATCTCGTCACAGCCCCTTCCCTCTTTCTTTCTTTTTCATATCTATAAGTTGACT